GATATACAATATTATTATTATATTATTATTAATTTGTGCAAAAATTAATATATTAATTACTATACAGAAATATATACTACTATCATACTACTACAATATTTTGTTATAAAAAATATTATATTTCTCGTAATAATATAATATATAATAATATTATATATTATATTATTACAAGAGAAACACACATACTTATAGTATTCCTATAATAATTAATATATAAAACTGTAATATATTACAGAAACATTGAGGATAGTATTTCGAACGCGCCCTTGTGATTTCCTTTAGGAAAAAGGGAGAATAATAGCCAAGTGCCGAGATATTACCGAGAGGTCACTGAGGCGCCACGAAAGCGTCGCCGATGGCTCCACCGTCTCAACCGCAGAAGGTTCCTTCCCTCGGCGAGATGAGTCACGCGCGTCGTCGAAGATACGACGTCAAGGTACCCAGGTACCGATGACACCGATGTATATATCAGTGAAGTGTCACTGCCAGGACGTCATGGAAGCGTCACTAACGCCGCACAGCGCGACGCCGAGGACCTCGCTCTCGCACACCTCGCTGTCTCCGTTCCGTCGTTTCCGATTCTGTTTCACACGCACAATCTCCGGGATGAGGACGATACTGATATTCAGGATGATTACGATGGGACACTCGCCGAAATACTCTACATTCGCGAGTACCGTAGGGATCGAGAACGATCTGACGGAGTAACGTTGCTTTGCGTTGTACGCGCGACACCAGGAGTGGCCATTTTAAAGCCAAGGCCTCACTTGACGCTTCGGCGTTTCGTCTCGCCTCCACTCCACTCCACTTGCCTCCCTCAGGCAGGCATGACCGTACGATCCTATGATACCGCATGCGCATGTCGGACTGAACAGTGTGAGCGTCGCTTCACAGGGGTCAATTTTGTGTGTCTTGAAACGAGGTGAAAATTACAAAAGTGAGCGATTCACTTAGGTGTTGACTAATAAAATTATAAATATTCTAATGAATTTGCTCGCTTTTGTAATTTTTACCTCATTTTATAGTAAATAGTTGCACCTGTCAGAGATTAAAGAATATCGCTTCTCTTTCCTCACTATAAAGTAAGATTTGTCATTCATAAATAAGCCTTGTTTGTTATAATATATTTTTTTTTTAATTGTTTTCTTTTCTTTTTTATAGATACTGTTTATAAGTACGTTCGAATATGTTACATCATTTTGGATACGCAGGTGATAAAAAGATACAGTTGATTAAAGGAACAAATCTACAGATTTGAAATTAAAATATCTTTTCGTAAGTTATATGTAGAATAAGTGTTATTTATAATACGTATATAAAATATGTTAATTAAAATTTAAAATAATTTTGTTGTACATTTTAAAATAATTTAAAATACAGAATAGCATAAATTTTACTTTCAGAAGCTGAGTGGGTGGATCTATTTTTCAAATCTTACAACTTTTCCTTAGGTAAGATTTGTTATAATTCATTGTATTCCTTGTCTCAAAATGATACTGTTTCAGAACCATAATGTATTGTAATATTCTTCTCGTCCACTGTTATCCAATTAATATTAAAAAAATGAACAAATCTTTTAAAGACTTATTGTTATAAACGATTTTTGTGAATTAAATTTGATAGAAATGCGAAATGGCAGATTTAATGTGGCTTAATGATCGGAAAAATAATTTTTCGTGAAATTAAAATATTTTTGAGTGTAAAGAAGTATAAATCTTAGTGAAAATATTTTTCTTATACAAATTGGAAATTTTTTTGGAAAATACCGAGAAAGTTTATATTTTTTAATAGAATTTTTTATGTATGTTAATTCTGAAATATAAGATTTTTAAAATTTTTCATTCCATAATTAAAAAAAAATACTTAAACATTTTTTAATTTTATAAAATTTTTTAAAAAAATTTTAGAATAAGAAATTTTAGGAATCTAAAAAAAATTCCTATAAGAATTCAGATAATTTTCACGATATTATTGGACATTTCCTTTTGCAATTTCAACGAAAAGGATGAGAAAGTCACGTGTGCGAGATGTTTTAGTTTAGCAACTCGAGTAGCGCCGTCTTCTCAGCCGAAATACACGCCATCCCATTTTCTTTCTTTTCTCTCATCGACCAGGTTTCTCTCTCACTTTCTTCCGTGCGATGAAAGTATACTGCAGGATTGCACGTGAAGTTCGATCTAAATACGAAGGCGAACACAAGCGAGGAATGGAGGGAAACGCATGCGAGCTGCGCGCACAATCGATGATTCATCGCACAATCATAAAGTAATAATATTCGCAATGGATATTATGATATTATCTTTTTTTTTTGCACAGTTAAATGTAATCTAAAGCGTGGCTTTTATATCTGGTGTCAGCGAATGTACTTTCGGTTGTCAGATTTCAGAATTGACGAGTGTAATCGCGCGTTAGAATATGAATTACACGCAAATGATTAATTATCCGTTCCTCTGTAGAATATCGAATCATCGTGATTTAAAATACTGCAGTTGCAAAAATTTGAGAGATTGCGACATTCATTTAAAAAATCGAATTGAGACTCAAAGCGATAAAATTAATCTTTCGGGAATTTAAATATATCACGACCTAAATTTCGTATAAAATTATTAATTTCGAGTACAATTTTGAGCAATTTTACAAGGAACTGATCATTTGAGGATTTTAAAAATTTCGTCGTCCGAAAATTATCGAAATAAACGTTCTTTAAAATACTGTAGTTGCAAGAATTCGAGATATCTCAGCATTGACGATTTTAAAAATCGATTTTTTGAAATTGGAGGCGAGTAATATATCTCAAGAATTTATAATATATCACGACTTAAATCTCGTAAATACAATTTTGAATATAATTTTAAGCAATTTTCTAAGGAATATCTTTTAATTAATTACTTGGGAGTAAAAAAATTTTATCTTTTACGCATACGATTTTGAAGTACAAGATTGCATGTAGTACTTTTTATATTTCAAGTATGTTGATTAATATAAATGACACTCCTTTTTCTCTCACGAGACTCGTTTCTGTTATCAATTAATGATGCCATTAAGAAATACTAGAGATAGTTAGTAAAAAGTTTAATAAAAAAATGAGATTACTTTTGTTGGAAGAAGTTGAAATGTGTGTGCGTGCATATTTTTATTTATACATTTTTGAAATATACGTACATTTCAAAATATTGCATTTTATAATATTATTTTATTAATTTAATAAAAGTATCGATAGACTTTGAATTTGTATTAAAAGATTTTGATATTTTGATAATTTTGCTGAAAATGTGAAAAGATAAGCGTGAAGGAGTAGTAAATAGTAGTAAATCAGTTTCTGATTTATTTGGGTTTCATTCAGCACATGTGGTCTTCGCTTTTGTATTATATCAGAATGAATAGAAGTGCATATATAGGAAAGATGTGCATTTTGAAAGTTAGAAAGAAAAGCTATTTGCTATGAGAGAATGGATACGGAGCATATCTACATTTATATAAGGACTTCGATTCTGAAAAGCCATTTCTACCGTTGCGCAACTATGTCGAGTGAAGCATGATATCTATTAAAATACCATATTGTACTTCAAATTGTAATCTGTTATATCTAGATACAAGTCTATTTTTATTCTAATTCTACAATCTACGTATAAAAAAAATGACAAAAAATTATGCAGAATTAAATACAGAAATATTACGAGAGTATTTGCGTATATTCATTAAATATCTCACTTAAAGTTTAACGGATATTATTTTCCTTTAAATCTTGATTTCTATTTTGATTTTATGTATATATTATATAATAATTTGATGAATTTTAGAATTTTTTATATGATTTTCCAGATTTTTGCAGAATTCCCGTACAATTTTATAACTTTTTAGAAAATTCTTTAAATTCCTTAAATATTTTTTAAAAAAATGTTGAGAAAGTCTACATCTTTTTTACATGTGAATTATGAAGTATTATATATCTTAAAATTTTTCATTCTATAATTTGCGAAGAACATTTATAAAATCTCAAGAAATTTAATGTTTTTTAAAAATCTTCAAAAATTTAAATGTGAAAGTTAAAAATTCTTGTAAATATTTTGAGAATTTTTTGTCAAATAAGAACGAAAACAGAAGAAAAGGAAAAATAACTTATTTTTCTATAATCGATTATTGCATTAAAATTGCATTTGAAAATTAATATTACAATTCTTTAAAATTAATATTACAAATCTTAACGATTCAAAACGTTCAATTTTATTTTCGGAAAGACTTCATTTTTTAGTTGTGTGATTATTGTTGCAAATGAGCGATATACATTCAACATTTATACTGTAGTTGTGTTGTACATATAAATAAACCAGTGAGACATTCAAATATCGTCAGAGATGTGCGGAATGCCTTTGGGAATGTCTGTAACTTACTATACTCTTTGTTATTTGCTTTATGAATTATTGGAATACACAACACCCACACAACGGAACTCAATGCACATACCTGTAATTAATAATTGAGGCTAATTAAGCTCCAAGTAATCGAATATGTTCTCACAGTGTGTCACGTGTGTCCTTTGTAAATCAATGTCTCTGACTTCCATCGTCTGCTGCATGGCACCATGTAATCACATTTATTAAAGCACTGTAGCGTATCTTGACAGAACAAATAGTCACGTTATAATTATGTGCGACTCTCTCGATATAAATAAAGCCACGTAATGATTGCGGATGTATCCTACATGCAGCGGACAGGAGATTTTAAGGAAATTTCAGACGATGGACGCGATGTCTAATTTCAGAAATTTTACTGTACATTCGACAAGTCGTGTGATTTCGCGAGCGAGATAGAAATTTATGTTTCTCCGACATAATTTAAGCGATTTAAAACGAGATCGTCTCATCTTTTCCGGTTGGATGAATAACCGTGAAAGTTTTAACCGGCCACGGCCAATGTATCGGAAAGAATCTTTATGATCTTCGGGACATATCATCTTATTTATTTTGATTCTGACGTTCAATCGACTGGATCGTTTACGTTACTTATGAGATTACAATCTGTAAATAAAATGATTATTATAAGCGGTTGTAGAAAAAGCTCTTACACGTCAGTATTACTCTAGTGTTCTCAGGCTTTCTAAAGCCCGCATATTATTTTTATACAACTCACAACGTGACCTATATGTAAATATATATATATATAGGATGATTAATTTTAATTTTAACAAGTAGATATTTTGAAAATGTGTAATTCATCAAAAAACATTTCAAATAAAAATTATGTAGTAGTCACCATTCATCTGTCTTTATACCATTTACTTTTATTTGGAACGTTTTTTTTTATCTGCTAAGATTAAAATGAATCATATACATATATATGTATATATACATATAGACTATTGATTAACAAACGCTTCGTTGAACTTTTATTCATTTGAAACTTCCTTTTTCCAAATATATATTATAAATATACAAACAACGTAAAAATGTACAATGTAACAAATGTAATACCCTATATGAAATGCCACGTAAAAACTTAACGGAGATCATTTTATGATACGCCTTATAGATAAGTGGAATATTTTCTATTATATTATCGCACTATAAAATAATCTTATTAGATAAATTCTTATTATATTACGTGCTGCTTTTAATCAACTGTTGCATGTATAAAAAGATCCTTTCTTTTATTTCCTTCTATTATAAATAATATATATGTATGTAAATAAATAATAAAATAATTCGTATTTTACACAAATTAAATAATAAAATTCTAAACTACGCGATAATATAATAGAAAAAGTGTTAAATATTATACATGCACACACTCTTAACTTGTAAAATAAATATAATTTCTACGTGCAATAAAAATGTGTGTGTGTGTGTGTGTGTGTGTGTGTGTGTGTGTGTGTGAACATACAATATACACTGCAAGTGAAATACACTATATACAAATACAAGGTACTGCATACATTAACGCTGTACAATAGTATATTTACATTACTGTTATTTACACGATCAAATTTCATCTCCGCTCGTCATTGTTTGCATCGATTGTTTTGTTGATCCAATGCAGGTAATGTTGTATCTTAGTGTATACATCTGGGTAGCCTGGTCTGGCACAACCGGATCCGAAAGATGTGACACCAGCTAGCTGCCAAACACCGTCGGTACGACGACACTGCAGAGGTCCTCCAGAATCACCCTGAAGATTAGGATAGACAAAAAAATGAGATTCAGTTCTATTCCGGTACATAAAGTTGCTCCATATTCATTATCAACTTCTAACATTGTAATTAGTATTATAATTAATATAAGTATTAACATTAGATATAATAGTTTACTTTCTGCTGAATAAATGAAAAAAATCTTACAGAGTTTCTTTGCAGTTTTTCGTTGAAATAGGAATTTCATAAAATAGATTTAAAGTGAATTTTATTTGTTGCTAATTAAAAAAATATTATTTTAAAAATATTATATCTAGAAAATATTATTGCGACTTCATTGATTTGATAGTGCAATAGGAATTCATTGTTATTAAAGAATCTTAATGATACATCACTTACAAGATTTTTTTATTTTAGATATTTAATATTATAGATTCTTATATAAAAACATATACTTAGAATTCGAAAGCTTATTTCAAAGCGACAGTAATTCTTGGCTATTCTTGAATATCTCGCGCGCCATCGATCGTGCATTCAATTTTATTATGAGAAAGTGCACGAGCGACGTAATTAACAACAAATTGACGCTTTCAAATAATAAAACATGTTTGTGAACGATTCGTTTTATTCTCGATAGCCAGTGCATGCATGTACTAACACATCCATGCGTTTGTATTTTGTATGAATGGATTATATAGGGTGAATCAAGTTTTCCATTTCACTGCAATGATAAAACATTCTATCTACGATTAAATAAAAAGTTGAGACTTTCGACAACCTTTAAGACTGGTTATTTTCTATATCTTTGGTTAAAAAAAACTTCTCTACATCTCTCAGAATATTTTATAAAATATTTTTTATATTTTTAATTTATGAAGATTAAAAATACTTTTAACTTTTTCAGACTTGATAAATTTTCTTTGAAAATTATAGAATGAGAAATTTTAGAAATCCTAGAATATTTCAGAATTCATATACATATATATATTAGGTGTTGGAATTAATTCGTAGCGACAAAAAATGATTATATAAAGAATTATGAAAATTTTTTTTTTTAATCAGAGACAGAGCTACGTTTTTGAGAAGTGTAACGAAATAATTTTTAGAAAGATGTAAAATTTACCACGCAGCTTCCGGAGGAACCGTCAATCTGACCGGCGCAGAGGTGGCCTTTTCTAATGGGTACCGAGGTACCATAGGCTTGCAGGCACTCTTCCAGATTTAGAAGCGGGATACTGGCCTCCAAAAGAGCAGTGGAGAGTGAAGGCGAGGGACCATATCGGCCCCAGCCGGAGGTCACGCATTGTCCTTCACTGAGATCTTGTCCGGGACCAGGAAGGCAGATAGTACGGACGACCTTGGACAAAGGCGCCGGCCTGGCGAGTTTCATCAAGGCTGTAATAGCAAGATTTCTTTCAGAACTCTAGAAACTCACGACTCGCAAGATTTCTCCAGTTTTAGAATTTATTTAGGTAACAAGAAAGACGGATAGATTTGGTAAAAGACTTGACTTAAATTGAATAAAATATAGGTTGATAAAACTGGGTTTTGTTGAATGGCCTTCAAATTATCGGCATTCACGAGATACAGGGACTCTCTCATGGAGGATCACTTTCTCGACGGGCAAGCGTGCGGATCCGCGTCCACCTGAATCCAATTCCCATTCGCCGACCACCGCCGTCCATAACGCACCGATGGGTAAATTGAACAATTCGCTGAAGTAAATATCCACTTGAGAATACGAAGCATAAGGTAAATATTCGAAAAAATGTAAGTATAAAAGAAAATTGAATCGAGACTGAAGTCAGTCTTATATTGTTGGAAACAGACAGAGAGACTTTGAGAGACTTTGTATTGTCTGTGTGGGTCGTAAGAGTTTGAAGTTTTAGTAAAATTAAAATTGGAATAACAACAAAGTAACTTTTCAGCTAAAGCATTCTGTAAAAACATCGAACTCACTTGTGAATGCAGTGGGCGGCGGTTATCACCCATTTAGGATCAATCAGCACACCGCCACACCAATGACCGATAAAGCCCAGTTTCGGATGCAATAACTGAAGGGACACCTGCCAAGGCCATGCGCCCCTTCGGCTCGGTTTGCCGTTGAAGATGCGGCCGGTGGTGGTTGTGATTGTCGACAACGAGACGCCGTTTTTCGGCTGGACCTTCGGCAAGACAATCGATCGCGGCTGCCTCTGTGATGCTGCTGGACATCCGCACTCTGTTATCCGAAGCCGCTTATATATGTTTAATGCTTCCATCATTAATAGCGAGATACGAACTTACAATTAGTATAAATATGGCACCAGGAATATTCGGGAAAATTTAATGGTGAATTCAATCATTCGCACTACACAATGCACGCATTAAAAACTACTCCTAAGGAATACACAAAAATCAACGAAAATTAAAATGACTTTATTTTGATTCTTAACATGATTACACAAAATATAACAGTTAAATTAATTTTCATAATGTTAAGATAAAGTCATTTTTAACTTTCTTTTGGAGTGTGTTCCTTGGATTTATACAATTAAAGTATCTAAATATTATCAACTATAATATTATCAACTTTGACAATGAAATAATAGAGGTGTATTCGGTTAAATAACGTGACAGATGATTATTGGATATTTAATCATTAAAAATTTTATTTGTTAGAATGCCAAGGCTCTTTGCAGTATCATCATGTTTGAGATTCCTCACGTAACTATTTTAATGTCCCAACGAAATTATTTTCAGATCTATATCTAGCTGAATTTTTAGATACATAAACAAAATCGTTTCAGTGTTCATGCTTTTATGTTTAACTTTGATAATTTTATGTTTAGCAGTTTTTCAGTAATGCGAATGATCGAGTTTGCTAATAAAGTGCAGTAGGATTCAAGATGTATTAATAACTTAGAAGTATCTATCTAGAATTTATAAGTAATCGGATAGAATGTAGATAAGAATGAAGTACACATAATAATTATAATAAGATATTGCAAAGAAATTTTAGACTATTATTAGGATTTTCGCGAGTATTTTTTCTGAAATGTGTTTAGTATTTTTTTTAATCATGTGAATGCAATAAAATACTAAATACACGCCAATCATCCAAAGTTACAGAGAGATATAAGGAAGATCTAAAATCTAAGCGGATAATATTTCAAAAATAAAGATTCCAAATTAAAATATAAGTGTTGAAAATTTGAAAAAACTAAAATAAAATTTACAATCTGGAATATATAAAATGATAAAAGTATAAGATTAATCGAGAAATTTAAGAATAAACTACATTTCAAAAATTGCAAATTATATGTTTTAAAGATTACAATAATCTTAATCTTAATTAAAGACTTTAAGATATTTTTATTCTTAAGCTGAAGAAAAAAAGAAATGTTTTATAAAGAGAATCTTACCAAATAAAAAAAATATACCAAATAAACAAAAACATTTAAAAGTGCATGCATCATTAAATAAAGAATTATACTCAAATAGATATAAAAATGGATATAAAATCGATGTAATCATTCAAGTATTATCAAGACAAATTTAAATCTTAAAAAAAATAACGCTTTTGAAGATATTGAATATGTTTTTGATAGAATTTTCTTTTATTTCTCTGTGACGTTACTATTACACGGAAGAAAAGAAACATTACTGATAAAATTTTAAGGAAAATCGCAACGTCGAGGAATTACTTACTAAAATGATCCTCCCGGATGATTCTTATCATGGCACACTGGGCCTCCGCGAGAACAACCACCAGCAGGACAAGCAAATCACCACGAATACGATACATTACCAGCGAAATCAAGAATATCCGCGCTGGATCACCACACCGATCACTATGATCTATGGATCTGCATAGCCTGACTAGTCTTGACGACGCCGATCGATCCTCGAGTAGGATTAGCGCGTCGCGAAGAGCGGATCCTTCGGTACGAAGCGATCTCGAAGAAAGTGATCGTTGAATAGTGCGGGAGAGGGGAAAAGCGAGTGATGCGGTCTAGCAGATGTTGAGGAACACGAGAAGCGTTTAAGATCATAATTTATGGAATGGAATCTCGACGCCAATTTTAATTAATGAAGATTCTTCAATCTTAAAAACGCCCCTTTCAAAATAAATGTGAAAAAGGGTAGATTTTTCGTTCGTGACGAATTTAAATGTTTCAAAAATAGATATTACGATTAATGTCTTTATTTATAATTTATAATACAACATTTATAAAATGCAAATTTATTTAAATATACATATATTAAATTTTAGTCTTTAAAATTACTTAAAAATCCACTTTTTTTAACAACTTCCTCTATAGACTTATATTGTATTTTTTATTTTTTAATTTGTAAAAATGTGCCTGAAAGTTAATTGTTTGTTCTTAGATACTCAGAATCTGATGGGATTCAATGAAACCTTTATGTCTTCTAAACTGTAAGTTTTTTTAAGATTTTTAATTGATTCTTTTGTATCAATTGGTATTATGATAAAAATAAATGGACAAATGAGATTTTCCTTTCATTTCAGTGCCTAGAATGGAAATTGACCGAAAGAAATCTTATTTACAATCCATCGAGAACTGCGATAAAAGAAATTAGCGAATCGAATCGATTAAAAAGGAAGAAGATGAGAAACTTTCTCTCACTGTAAGATAAAGCTTAATCACAGGATTATTCGAATTCGAAGGGCTTTTTTCCCTGGTAAAAAAATTTCGACACCGATGCATGGAAAATTATGCGAATAGTTGGGCATATTGCTAATTAGCATTCAAATAGCTTGAGGAAAGAAACCGAGGGAACCGAGGCACAATTCAAGAGTCTCTCTTCTTCTCTCTCGTTCACACACTCAAACGAGGCGACAACTTTCGAGAGCGAATCACTCTACTAGTACGAGCTGAGAGAAACGCGGTCGATATAATGATATAATCGCTAAGACGATAATCCACTGTTCTGGTTTGCGTTGTCTCGATTGCAGGATATCGCGTTTGCAGAGAATCTATAAACATGCAACTGAAGATTTCTAACAACGTTCGAATTATATTCAAAAGATAATTCGGTTTTTGTACAGGAATCTGAATCTGATTATCTAGATAGCACAACTGATCTATTTGAAAAAGTATTCAACTTTTTAAGTTCTTTACGAATTGGTGTAATTTGTTTTGAAATGAACTCAAAAATAATTCAAAAATTTAATTATCTCATAATAATCAGTTGATGTATACGAATCAACGGAAGATATATAAAAATCTTCCAATATATATATTTCTGAAGAATTTTTGTTTAAAGGATGCTATTATAGAAAAATGAATAAAATATGCAGCTGGCTCAAATCCATTTCACTGCGCGCGAAATGACGATAGAATGAGAAAGTGAAACCACATTTACGCAGTTCTTAGAAAGATCTTATAGAAAGAAAAAAAATTATAAGATAATATGTCACCGTTGTTTTCGATTGTATGTGTGTGTACACGCACACACACACACACACACACACACACACACACACACACACATATATATATATATATCATGTTTATCACGACGCATCGGAATTAAATGTAACAATAAATTTGCAGAGCGAAATGAATAAGATTTTTTACATATACTTATATGTTTATTGAATAAAAAATTCTGAAAAAGATGCAAACTTTCTTAGCGTTTTGAAAAATGTTTCGATTTGTATAAAAAATTTTTGATAAATCACAAAAATTCTAAAAAATTATATTAAATATTTTTTTATTAATTCTAAAAAAAATTGTCATAGGATGAGAGAGAAAAGACTTTTAAAAAATTTAAATAAAAAACTTTTTAAAATAAACTTTTGCATATAATAATGTAAATTTAAATATTATTCCAATTGTATTTAAATTAAAATAAAGAATTCATTTAGATGAACAAATACAATAAAAATAGGCTTTTTAAATTCTAGCTGTTCAATCATCAGTACACAATATTTTTTTAACGTGTACTGATTGGGTGGTTGTTTTACTCATTTTTTTATGTAATATATAAGAAAGTATATACTAAACTACTAAAGTGCTTTTTTTTTAACAAAAATGATGTCAGCTATCGCTGTAATTTTTCGAAGTATTTGTAGTGCAAAGGTTTTCAATTTCTGTCAAATGAATCATTGCTACAATATCTTCCCACTTGAAATTAATTTCCAATTAAATACCTCACCTCTGTGATGTTTGTATATCATGATTATCAGGTTCGTTAATGTTTTTATTAGACTTATTCTATAATGATAGTGTTAATATCCTTATCGTTGTGCATATAACATGATAAGGAAGCTATATAAGAATAAAGAATAGATTTATGGAGCTACATGATATAATATGTACAAAATGTAAAGAAAACATATACTTTGAAATAATGTTGGCAAACCTGACAAGGAAACCAACTTCAAGTGGGAAGGCAACCAATAATTCCTTTCATATGACACTACTCTTATCTAAATATAGTGGCTTACTTCAAATAGCTATAGAGATTTGGAGCATATCAGAACATTCAAAACTATCAGAAGCTATTCTCACGTGTATGTCTTGTGTTGCCAATGATGATAGCACTTACGAATTTTAAGTTATTGAGATATTATAGATCAGCATGTGTGATGTGTAAACATTTGTATAATAAAAGAAATGTGTACTATGTTAAGTTTAGTACCGAAAGTGACAAGAAAGCCGGCTCCGAAGCTGTCACGTTTTCTGATGGGTGAGGTTAGGTTGTTACGTTCATACACTTTAACCTGTATGTCAAATTAGATGTAAGATATTAGACGTTTATATCGTTTATGCAGATATTTTATGAATTAGTTTAAAATGAAATATTTGTATTCTGTTATAAAACATTTACATATTTAAAATCAATTGTTATATATAATTACATTAAAAAAGTTACAAAAAATAATGTAGACCATCATATAGATATTTATATTTTTATTTTTATATTTTATATTTTAGATGTTTTATAATAAGTTTTCTTTTATCTCTGTAGTATTACTTTTTGATAGAAGAATTTTTTATTATTTTTATACCGATTTTTCTGCATCTTTATAAATTTAATTTAACACTGAAACATTTATCTGAAATTGACTGAGAAATATGATTTTTTTATTTATAATTTTTAAAGATTATTAAGAGAACTATCTTGTTTTCAGTTTGTTATTTGAGGTGCTTAAAAATTGAGGAAGAATAAATTATTTAATTAATTTATATATATTGCTGATTGATTTATATATTTTTATATATCCAGCAAGCAACTCCAGTTTTCTACGGGTAAATATGCACGTTTCGCTGATGGCTGTGCGGTTGCAACTCTGGGAGACACTTCTGTCATGGTTACGGCAGTTTGTCAGCATCAGTCAACTACCTCTTCGTTCCTTCCACTTGTCGTGGACTATAGACAAAAA